AATATCTATACCTGTGTTTTAGGGATACAGATATTTGTCAGGAATCAATGTTCTGCAGAATTGTGAAGTTGCCCTAAATCATTACAAGACAGTGGCAGATTATAGTGAGTAATATACACAATTTATTTTTAAAAAAACAACAGACTTGCCAAGTAATTAAAAAAATAAATCATTAACAGTTGACATAAATTTATAAGAAAAAATTTAAGCTATTCTTTTTTTAACATCAGTTATAATATTATTCTTTTAATACAAGTGAATTTCTGATTACTTGCTAGTTACTTTTCAAAGGTGTTAAATGATTGTACTTCTATTCTCAGACTATTTTTTTTACATATTCTTATGATATACTTTCCTTATACTGAGAATTTGAATGTAACACCAATAAATATTAACCAGTTTTCCCAATGATAGCATTTAGAATATGAATGACTTGTTAAAAAACTTTCTAAAGAAACAAATATAAGGCACAAACATTGGGTGTCTCTATCACTCTACTTGAGAAAAATTCAACCCTTGTCCATTGTCTATTAAAAATAAGTGCAAGGCTAATACATGTTCCTAGAATCTTTTTCAAAATTGTATGTAACATCTCATCTTGCAATACTATTAAACATAATAGAGTTTATAATTCTTTCAAGAAGTGAATAAGGTCAAGTTCATCTGGTTAATTTCTAGAATCAAAATGACATCAAAACACACATATATGGCACTATTACAATCTGAGAAAAAGGAAAAGAGAAATTACTTCTGAATTTAAGATGCTATAAAAACATAAGGTGATTTCATAATAAAATGAACATCAGTATATATTTATTTCAAACTTCACTCTTTGATATGTGTATTCAAGCTTACTTATTGTTTTATTTTCAAACCATTCATAGAAAGTAATTAAGGAGTAGATATTACTTTCATTTTCTAGTTTCAGTCCCAGGAAATGCCAATGGTAGAGGGTGTCTCCTCTTTTCTTGAGCCTGCTGGGCCAAGATCTTCAGTAGGATTGGGTATATATTAGTATAATACTGATGTGGGTTGCAAAGAATAACTAGGTTTTATACCCTCTTCTCAGAGTCCTGGTACTGCTGTAGGAGAAGCACTAGACCACAAGGTCAGTTTGAACCATGAGGCCAGTAGTTCACACTCACCAGCTGCTCCTCAGAAACCCTATAGAGGGTCTCCATGAGTTGGAACCAACTTGGCAACTCTTAACAACAACAACATACCCTCGTCTCAAAATGAAATAAGCAAAAATCAGCAATTTTTTTTAATTTTTCAAGGAACTTCTATTTCAATTAGAGAACCAGACTTCTGTAAAATTTAAGGATAATAGGCCTAGCAATGTTTTCTCTAAGCTGACTTTCATCTCTTGCAACCTTGTGCATTCTGGCTATTCTCAGACTTGTTTCTATTGACAGTTGCTGACAAATTGGAAAAAACGGAAGGTATCCCAGTGGAAAAAGTGATACTTACCAAAAGACCTGAAAATCTGAATTCTGACAGTGAGATTTTGGATTGGGACATATATCAATACTATAAATTTTTGGCAGAAAGAGGAGATGTTCAGATACAAGTAATATATACTGAAAATCTTGTATTTTTAGAACATGAAAATTAAAAGGGTTTTCATTTTTTCCTAGTCCTGGAGGTGTTAACAATGCCCAGTTTGGGTGGTAAAGGGAAGAGACACTCCTGTCCTACTCCGAAGGTTTTATCCCCTGACACTTGTAGTTCCTGTGGTCTTTGGGAGCATGAGTAGCCATAGTAATGGCTATTTTTTACATTTGATTACTCCTAAAAAATTCATTTAAAAAAATACCCTAGATTTTGATGATAGAAAAAAGCACCACCCAATCCTGATTTAATAGGAAAGAACTTCTCAAGGATCTAGAAATATTTTGTTTTGGGGAATGGGGCTGCATTTGTATAACCTTTGAGAATCAAGAATGAAGCCCCATAGGATTATGTGCCCAAGCATTAGTATACAGACTGGCATTTCGCCACCAAGAAGCCATATGCCCAAATATCCAAGACAGGATACAATCTTTTTTCCTGCAACTTTTAAGATGCCAACTACATCAAATGGAGTCAACCAACTATAATAAAAACAAACAGTAAACATGTTTTCTTTGGTTTATTTAAATTAATAGCACTGCTAAAACTACTTTCAAAAATTATTGTTCCTAGGTAACTCTTGGGAAGTTACATCTAATTGGGAGGAAAGGCGTAGATCAAGATTACTACGTAAGTTAACCTCAATATTCAGCAACCTGGAGTGGGCATGTACTTTGTGGGAAGACTGGCTGGGGTTATAAAAGGGTAGAGAGAGGAAGTTGAAAAAATTCCTAGGGAAAGCCCATGCTTCTGACTTCAGTTAGATCTGCTTCCCAGCTTTTGAGTGAGAACAAAATTACCCAGAGGGAATATTTTTCCTACCTGCCTCCAGGTGCCAAGGGGTAGGGGCTTGGATAGAACAATTTGAGCTGAGAAGTGTTCTTGTTCCAATTGAGTCTACCAAAACACATCCTTGCATGGCACCAGGTGAAAATAATAACCCCACCTACTGGAGTCCTGGTGTGGCGCTGTGGGCTAATGCATCAGACTGCAAAGTTGTTTGAATTGCAACGTCAGTGGTTCAAGCTCACCAGCTGCTCCTTGGAAACCCTATACAGGGTCGCTATGGGTCAGAATCGACTCAATGGGACTTAACAAAAACAACAACTACTGGCCTCAGACTCTCTCCCTGCCCAAAGACCAGTAGCAGTAAGTTCACCTGGGAGACTTCTGCTAAGGAATCTGAGGACCAGCTTCATCCCCATTTGGCTATATCAGAGTACAGTCTGCTTTTGATACATTACTAAGATTATTAGGCATCTTTATAAATTTACAAGACTCCTTCAATCATTTTTGTTTAATTTTATCGTATCCCAGTAAGATTAGAAGATTAACTATTTAAATTGATAATGGAGAAAAAAAGCAAGTAAACTTTGCCTACAAAGGACCCTTCTAAGTAAGGTGCCTGAGAAATAGGATGAGGTCTTATCCACATTCAGACTGTGGTTTCAAGGCCCTAGATCAGCATAGATCTGGAGTAGTAACTTAAATTCTTTTAAAAGGTGATTTTGTAGCCCTAGTCATTTTATAGTCCTGGTGGTGCTATCAACTAACTACAAGGTCAGCAGTTCAAACCTACCAGTAACTCCCTGAGAGAAAGATGAGACTGCCTGTTCCTGCAGTCATTTAGTCTCAGAAACCCTATATGGGGTCACGCTGAGTCAGAATTGACAAGATGACAATGGGCTTTGATTTTGTCATTTTATAGGTGCCACTTGTTCATTGGCTCAAAGTAACATATAACCTATTCATAGTTCAATGTCTAAGCAATGGAAAGAACTACTTTATAAGAGTTTTCCAAAAAAGATTCACTCGTTATCATTTCCATTTCCATTTTTATTTTTTATTTTATGAATTTTTGTTTTGGTATATTAGTTTCTGTTTCATATGCGGTACTGTAAACATGAGGTAAATGTCAAAAACAGTTCATTTTATAAATTGCGATAAAATGTTTATTTAAATAAACATGTGCATCCTGGGTCAATTGTAGGACTCCAAGGTGTTTCTTGTTTTTATTTTTTATAGTGGTAAATGTAAACATAATAAATTATTTTCCTTTTTAGATTTTTTAAAATCCTAATCATAGCATTGTAGGATAAGCACTAGACTGCTAACTGAGGTTCAAATCTACCAGCTGTTTCTCAGAAATTCTACAGCATGTAACAGCAACAACAGAAAATTTATGGAAATAGATAGTGATGAAGGGAGCTTGGTGGCTCTGTAGGATAAGCACTGGACTGCAAGCCTCAAAATTGGCAGTTCAAGCCCACTAACTGCTCTATGGAAGAAAGATAAAGCTTTCTGCCCGCCCCCCAAAATTTACAGCTTCAGAAACTCTATACATGGTCACTATGAGTCAGAACCAACTCCATTGCACTTAACAACAATCATAACAAAGGGTTTAGCTTCTTAAATTGGAAGTTCTGTACACAAAACATTACTTGAATTCTAGATTTTAGCTTACAATGAATTTCTCTGATCGAACTCTTGAGAGACTCAATATGTGTCTCTTATGGAACTCATAACTGAAAAGAATTCCTCATTTTCCATGAGCACAAGATTAGTCAGAATATGAAGACACTCAAACTTCGGCTGTAGAGAGGACACACAATTTTTGTGTAGTATAATAAAACCCTATAAAATTAAGTACTTTGGGTCAGTTCTAGATACTGTGAAGACCAGATGGTCTAGAACCTATGACATGCTACAGCTTTCCTCAAGAGGTTTTATAGTTTTACATCACTACTTTATAGATGAGGTACTGAGACTAGAAAAGTGAAGAAATTTGCTTTAGGTCTCACAACAAGGAAGTAAGATTTTTAAGAAGCAGAATTTGAATTCAGGCCTTCCTAACCTGTGCTCACTTCATTAAACCTTACTTCCTTCATCTGAGCAAAAACAAAAACACCATCAAAAAAAACTTCTACTCTAAAATTTCAGATTCCTAGTTGTTAAAGAAAAAAAATGACATCATGTCTCAAGTTTATTTCAATTCTTTCTAACACTGACTTAGGCCTCGTGCTTCCTATCTAGAGATTCCAAAAAGGTTGGTTTCAATCCAGAACTGACCCAGTGGTCGAGGCATACTCTGGGACTAGCACAGGCTTCCCTTAGTCTAATAAACCTGAATTTGCATGGAGGGCAGCAGTCAAGATCTTACACCACAAGACTGATTGGTTTGTGTATCAGTTAGTTTAGGATACATAACAAACCACTCCAGATTTAGGTGGCTTAAAATAACCACTTATTTAATTCATTATTTTTGCAGGCTAGCAATTTTGGTTAAACTTGACTGAGCAGTTCTTCTGAATTGGGCCAGACTTTGCTAATCTTGGCTGGATTTGTCTATATATATGGGATTAGCTGCAAAATTGGTTAGAGTTAGCTGTCTTTTGTCACAGGCTTCATCTGGAGTGTCTCTCTGTGTAGTTTCACACTTCCAGATGACTGGTTCAAGCTTTTCTATGGCAGTCAAAGGGTTCTAAGAACACAAGAGCAGAAGTCTCTTGAGGTCTAAATTTGGAATTCACACATTTCTGCCACATTCTTTTGGCCAAAGCAAGTCCAAAAGTCCAACCAGGATTCAAAGGTTAGGAAAAGAGACCTTTGCTCGTATGGGTGGAGCTGCAATGTATTGTGGTCATTTTTTGCAGCTTACCATACTTTGATTGCACCAGAACCAACTTGGAGTATCTAAGATATCAATCTTTATGCATCCTATTCTTACTTTTGATGATGTCTTGTTTCCCCAGGTTCTTATTTAATATATTCCATGTTCTGACTTTTCATGGATGTTTGCAGCTGTTTCTTCTTATTTTGAATTGTGTTCTATTAGCAAATGCTCTATCCATGTCATTAAGGTCAATGCTACTTTGAGGAGGCAGCTCTTCCCCAGGTTTGAGTGCCTTCTAAGCTGAGGGATTTATTTTCTGGCACTGTATCAGAAGATGTTCCTCTGCTAGTCATAGAGTTTTCAGTGACTAACCATTTACAAGTGGTACAATTCTCCTTCTTTTCAGTCTACTTAGTCTGTAAGCGCCATTGAAACTTGACTAAGCTGGTATTTAAAATACCAGTGGCATCGCTTCCAGCAACACAGTAACACACAAGTCACTACAGTATGAAAAAGTGACAGACAACTGGTAGTGCTCAGAATAGTGCCTGCTGTATATTACATGCTCAGTAAATACTTTATGAATTAGCAATGGCATCCTAAGCATTGTACGAGGGAAAGTCAAAATGTATTGCTGTAAAAATCATAGAAATCTTTATTTTAAAAATATTAAAATATGAAGCTGTTTTTAATCAACATTTCCTCCATTTAGGGCTTTATACTTCTAAAAGTGGTATTTTCATCTCTCTAACATTCCTGCAAAGGAGCTCTGGTAACGTAGTGGTTACGAATCAGGCTGCTAACCTCAATATCAGCAGTTCGAAACTACCAGCTTTTCCTCAGAAGAAAGATGAGGCTTTCTGCTCCTGTAAAGATTTACAGCCTCAGAAACCTTATGCAGGGTTACTGTGAGTCAGAACTGACTCCACAGTACACTACTACCACCCCCTCCCCAAATAATTCTGTAGAATTATTCAATTTATGCCATATCAAACTGGCAATTTTGCCATCCTTGAGGAACTCCAATTGTGTTCCTTTCCAATATTTTTTTGGTTGGAGGTTGGGCAGAGAGCAAAAAGAATTATAAGGGATAAGATCAGGGCTGTAGGATAGATGAGAGAATTTTTCAATAGAACTGTTATTGAACAGCCCTTGCTACCCTCAAAAAATAAGCAGGTGCATTTTTGCAATGGGGAACGAAATCCTCAGTGTGCCTTTCCTGGTCTTTTTCTTACCAAGACAGCTTTCAATTTTTAAAAAATTCCTTTTTAATAAGTTCCAATGATTGTCCTATGTCCTTTGAGAAAATCTACCAAGATAACCCCGTTAGAATCTTAAAAAACAGTGATCATAACCTTCTGAGCTGACCTTTCTGCCTTGAATTTAATTGCCCTAGAAGGTCCCCTAGAAAGCTACTGTTTTGATTGGGCCATCTTATTTGAAAGCACCCTAATGAGACTTACACAAATGTATTACTAAGAGAATTTGTCTATAGTGATCCACTGATCTCAGACACATGTTTAAACATGTTTTGTTTGGAATAAACCCATACATGCATAACTTGACACCCTGGTAGCAACATTTTTTAACTTACCTCCTGCATGTTGCTCTTCAGTCTGAGACTTACCAATTAAACCTGGATGCTAATGCTTCAGCCCACCAAAGAAAATGCCATCACAAGATTAAAATTCTTTTTAAATATGTGATGCCCCAGTTTATTTAATTTTAATATTTAAAATTAAATATTAAAATATCTAGAAACAACTAACTAACTTGCCTTTCTTCTCCTCAGTGTTGGGCTGAATTAATCTCTCTCTTACAAGTTGTTGCCCCAAGCAACATTCCAACCCCTCACATTGCTAAATTCTTAATTATTTAAAAGTATTGTATATGCATTTCTTGATTACATTAACTTGGATATTCTAAATATAAATTTTAATATGGTTTGAATTTCTAAATATATACAGACTCAGAATGAATTGGATTAGGAAAGTTAGATGTTTGGATGCATAATATT